TTGCGGATGCGGCGGAACTGCTTCTGCCGCAGCTGCCGCAGGTAGTAGTCCCACCTGTCTGGGAAGTCACGGAGCAGTGCCCCGATCAGGGACACCACCAGGGGGGAGCCTGAGCCACACGGGACACAAAAAGCAACGCATTAACCAAAGTGCTGCATCCCAAGGCTCATACATCTAGCTGACATGTGAATACCGCAAAAAAAAACCCTAACAGCTCTCACAGAATAACAGAAATACACCTAGAACTTGCCAAAGGCTAAAAGAAGCACCTCTTTGGCTCTCTATGGGAAGAAACGATAGCAGCATTAAATGGGATATTTTCCATCAGATCTGGCAGCCATTGCTGCTGCCTCTTCAGAATAATGACTCATGCGATTCCCCCAGAGGTGGATATAAACATGCTGGGCCTGTGAACAACATTCCCAACAGCTCTCTCTGTTGTTCTTTTTAAAAGAATATTCACACGGTTCATCTTTTCTTTGGTTATATCTTGATTTTGTGCCTTTTTGTACATTTTTTCCCTCTTAAATGCAGTCCTGATATTATTATTAGAATCTGGATGATTTAGCATTTTGGGTTCAGGCTGCCAGGGCTGGGTATTCGGATGCTGGCTCAGGCTCAGTATGTGTGGAGTTTGCGTGTCCTTCCTGTGCCTGTTGAGGTTTCCTCTGGACATACAGGCTTCCTACCAGACATCTAAATTGCATATAGTGTAAAATCATGTTTATGAACGCCTGCCCCACGATAAACTGGAATCACTACCACGGTATCCCCTGCCATGGGCCACGTATCTCTAAATTTTAGAGACTCAGAGACCGTGGACTACGTAAGTGGTTATGGAGGATGGACGGAGAGTAATTTTTTTTAGCTTAACTTATCCATATGCTTTTCTTCATCTCACTGCCAAAATACAAATGGCAGCACATTCTGAGGTTAACTCACATTTGCACTCTTTGACGATACTGCCCGCCTGCTCTGGAAGCTCCCGCACCGTCTTGTTAACATACAGGCTCAGAACCTCCAAGGCTTTATTTTGGTCCAGGCTGCTCTCCACCTCTACCTCCTCTCTGTGGCCTGCAGGGAGAAGCAGAAACACACATGCCTCCATTTTGGCTTTCGTGGGGACTTCCAGAGGAATCGTCTTCTCACAAAAACTGCCGAACCCGTGTGGCTGTTTTCAACGGAATGAGAAACCGTCATCACTGTGGCCTGTATTCACTTTAACCTGACGGTGGAGCGGCAGCGTACCGCTCACAGAGTCCACCAGGCTCCGGTTTCGAGTAGTGAGCAGCACCCGGCACTGGACATCGAACATCTTCAGCATCGCCCCGTCCCAGATGTCGTCCAGGATCAGAAGAGTCCTGGTGACCAAAAGGAAGTCATGAATAGAACATTGTTGGGTTACAGCTTGAACAAATAGATGCAAAAAGTCCCCATTCACAACAAAAGTAACTTCATTAACAGCACAGATCATACAGGATATAGCTGATTCTGGGGAATGTGCATAGGCATTTCAACGGCCTGAATCTTCTCTAGGATGCCACTGGTACATACAGGTGCGATTCATACCTGGGGTACTTGTTCAGCATAAGGAATCTGAGCTGTTCCTTAGCCTCTTCAATGGAGCGGGGTCTCCGGGCAGAGGAGTTGTTTTTCTGTTCCAGACGGAAGCACAGCGACTGCATCTTCCCCAACAGCCCCGGCATATCCACCTGGCCAACTGACAACCAATGGACTCCTCCGGGGAAGCACTCTGCGGTTCCACATGGACAAAAGAATGATCGGCAGTATGTTAATTCTGATAATACGCCAAAGACTCCACCCTCCTCTAATCTATTAAGCTTCCACTCATTGTTCCCACCTTTAATGAGAGCCTCGTCTCTCACGGCCTCGGCTGCCAGTACGGATTTTCCTGACCCCGCCATTCCGAACACGGTGACCCAGCCGGGGTTGTCCTTAAGCTTGTACAGCTTCTGTCGGACCTTGTTGATGAGAACTGTCCGGCTGACGAACACCACAGGCCTCTGTGGGACTCCGCCTTCAATAAGCACCATCTTAACTGAGGTACAGACACCGAAAGGTCAACGAGTACCGTTTTAACATAGGTACAGACACACAGAGATCACTGAGGAATGGATGTAATCTAGCAAAGACAGACAAAAGACACTATTGCACCCATTATTGTTCTGTTGTTTGTGAGGATGCCTGTGTTAGCTCCTAGATCATACCAGACAATTCCCACAAGTCCCTGCAGCATGGGGGAGAGTTTTACCGTAGGGAGTACCTCCATCTGAGTAGCTCTTCTGTACCTCTGGGGAGATGAGTGGCAGATCCTGCTGTAGCAGGCAGGCCAGGTCCCCATAGCCCTCACGGATGAGGGCATTGTACAGGGAGACGTAAGCACGGTTGTCCTTCTGCAGGACCAAGTCGACAAGGGCAGCTGCTTGCTCTCTCCTGGTGGCCTGGATCAAGCCAGAGACAGAGGCTATTCAGCATTTTCTTCTGCAGAATTACACTACTCTAGGCCCATTTTACAAATAGGAGCCACTCAAAAACATATGCAGGACTCATTTGGCCTCAAAATTATATGATTATTTTATGTCTTGTTTCCACCAACACAGAGCCGGTGCTGGACTGGTTCTCGCTTGGTGCCTTTTCAGAACCTGCATGCGTTTCCACCGGATTAAAAAAAGAATGGAGTGGAAATGTTATGTCCGTTTATGTGAGAGTAAAAGTTAATATTAATTTATTTTGATATGTTTTGAATTTTGAATCTTTATAAGCCGCTGAACTGAAAAAATAGCCTTTAAGTGTCAGTTTTCAGAGCATGACTCGTTGCGCTCTGTCTCTACGGCCTGTATCTACCTTTGCCTCCTCAATATCCGGGGATTTTTATCGTCCTCTGTACATGTATGTGTTCTTAGTACTGGAACTGGTCTTCAGCAATGGAAGATGACATAAAACGGGTACACAAGAACACAAGTACGGTCAGGTACGCATATTGAGATTCACCCCAGCTTTTCTGGGGTGCTGTTTTTCTGGCCCAGGGCCACTTGAGGTGGAAACACATGGAACCAGGTGCAGATTGGGGGAAAAACCCGGCACCCACTCCGGCACTGCTTTGGTATAAACGAGGCATCCCAACCAGCCTTGGCTTACACCATTTTCATAAATAATGAAAAGACCTTTACTCTGTCAAAACAAATCACACTGCTTATAATTAAATTATTTTAGTTTCAGGGTCTTACCCTTTCCCATCATTTCAACAAACCTCAGAAGACTCCGATATCACTGCAAGAATCTCACAACTCACCCTGCTGCTGACACTATTCTCTTCATCAGTGGTCAGCACTGTGTCACTGACCATGTGGTCCATGAGGTAGGAGGCCTTGATGTCCTGCTCCAGGACAGTGCGAGAGCGCAACAGGCAGCTCCGAGCCCGTTCCTCCATCCTGAGCTCCGGCTCTTCGGAGGCGGCACATGCAGCGTTCCCGCGGTGATGAAAGACAGGTCACGGGGCCAATGTGTCTCAGAATGACTCACGAAGGGGAGTATCATACAGTGTATTCAAAGGAAACCTTTAACGTCAAAATTCATGTTATCAGCTTCAGGAATCAACACGGCCTTAAGGAAATAAGTCGACAGGAACCAGTAAGAAACTTAAAGACACTTTCCAAAGAAAAGAACCTCTGAAATTTACAGTTTGTTTTCTTTCCCTAATACGTCAAGAAGTAACATTATGTTTAAATAACCAACAGTATGTCGATGGTATTAAACCTTGTAGCGCGTTTACAAGTCAATACCAAAGTAGATAGCAACTTAGTGATAAAAAAAATCTATTTACTATTAATAACCTTTAAATTTGTCGTACTGTTGCCCGTCATTAAACCGCTAATTGTATTAGTCATTGGTCGACAGCTTAAAAATGTACATAAACATGTAAATATAGCAGGTCCACCACAACATTACTTCGTCTGAATAGTTACTATACAAATTTATATTCGTCCCTTATTTTCATTTAGCTAGTCATATTACGAAGAGCGATAACTTACTAAATTCCGTCAGCTGGTTTCCTTCCGTCCGATTGCCTGTTCAGTGTTTACACCAGCCGTGGCAGTTTCGGAAATTCACGGTGATATCATTTCGAAGTGCGCGTCCCTGAGTTTCAACAAAACAACTTCCCTGTTCGCCAGCGGCCAATAGCAAGCCGCCGAGCGATCACGTGACGGAGCCGCGTTATTTCGAATGGTCACGTATCCAGGCAGATTTGTTGCCAGTGAACGGAAGGGTGTGTTCGGTGAATGTTAAAGATTAATCAACTTTTAAATTACATTTAAACGGCTATGTAATACATTTTTAAAATCCCATCTACACCCATCCATCCAGTGATTATTAAAAATATAATTTAAGAAGCTAACATTTCTTTATTCTTAAAGAAGTATGGTACAGTATTTTTAAAACTTTAGCGACGTAATGGCGTTAATTTTAATATCATATATATTTTTTTCTTCACATCAGAGGTAAGCATTTTTTTTTGTCAACAGCAGTCCCAAAAACTGTGCCAGAGATGAGCATGGGGGTGAGATCGCTGCTTCCTGGTGGGCACATTTGCTCATTGTTAGGCAAGGGGGTGTGTTCGTGGGTGGTGGGATGAACTTGTTCAAGGGGGCTCAGCCTGCGGTTGGTGCACTTCTCTGTCCCCAGCAGCTTATCCAGGGCTTTCACACGTCGTTCCTGCTGCAGCCAGTACAGCATCTCAATGCGATCCCAGCGCATCTTCTGCCCGTAAGGCCTCCCCTGAAAAACACCCCAGAGAAGTAAAACAAATGTGTTGTTTATCAAATCCTTCTATTGACAGTGACTTACAATGTGGCACCTTTATTTATACAGCTGGAGTATTTCAGGTTCAGTACCTGTTCAAGGGTATGACTGAAACACCCCTCATGAAATGAATTGGCAACTATCCTACCTGCTCTCTCTTTCCCAGCACTAGTAGTATGAGCGGTGAAGAAGAGCCTACCATACTGCCTACATTGGCCAACAGGAAAAAGGACACTGACATGTGCCAAATATAATACTTCATCAGTACAGACAGGAGGTGACAGATATAAAGGGCCCTGGACTTGCGTTGTAAGGCACAGCCTTAGATCTGAGTTTGCCTCTTGAGGCTGTTTATGCCAGTCTCCATTTCTCCACTGGGGTAAGAATGATGGTGGAACTCATGCTTACATTGTAAGTGACGGTATCGCAGAAACGGTCGCGGATGAGTCGGATATCCTCGGACAGGATCCTTTCCAGGGCTGATATCTGCCTGTTGATTTTCTGCCTGCGCCTGGACTCATCCATCCTTGCAATCGATGTGCCTCGATAACCTGGGAGAGATTCATGTTTCACCGCCCACTGTGGAGTTACTCTGTCAACACTGGCCAATTGGGAGATGAACTGGGAACTTTAGAATACATCTGTGCAGGGTTATCGTCTCTGAACAATTCAGCTCTTATATAGAAATTGTATTGGACAAATAGTGGTTTGTAGATTGCTATACAAATACGACAGTATGTGTACATGAAATACAGCAAGATGCATTTGTTCAGTGCCTGATCTTCTGCATATTTCAGAGTGCATTTTTCTGTGCAGTCTCTCAAAGCTCTGCTAAGGAATTTTGTCCCATCCTTCCCTGCTATATCTGATCAGAGGAATTGTCTAACATTCCATGCATCCATCCATCCATCTTTCAACTAATCACTGTCCTCAAAGTAAGAGAAGCCTGCTGTATCCCTGCACATCAGGGCTCTTGAAATCCAGCTTTCGATTCCAAATCCAGGCCTTGTTTTCAGTTCTCCCAGTTAGTTTAATAATTATGGATTCTAATTGGCCAAAGAGGTCGACAGAAGGGTGCATATGGAGCACCCCCGAGGGCATGGTGAGGTGGCGTTATTTGAGTTTGTTGTTTCTTGCCTGGTTAAGACGGTTCATGGCTTTGGGATAGAAACCATGGGTGTAACTTTGGTTTGAATTATGGGGGGGGGGAGGGGTTGAGGTTCCCACCCATCTAGGGGGAGACATGATTATGGGGGGGGGGGGGGTTTTAGAGGCCGGTTTTATTTTTTGGGAATTTTACAACCGGCCCCGCCCCCCCCCCCCCCCCCCCCCATAATTTACGCCCGGGGTAGAAACTATTCCTCAGTCTGGAAGTGTGGGAGTAGACATGCCTATAGCAAATTTGAACAATATGGTTTCATTTTATCTTATTGGAGTCTCAGAGCCTAATAAATGGCTTTATAACCTTGACAGGCACCGACAACTTGGTTCCTTAGATCTTCAGAAATTTCATTTACTTGACAACACAAAACTAGTCAGAATCTAGTCAGAATGTTTGCGTGTGTGTGTGTGTGTGTGTGTGACTCGATAATTGCTGTAATTGTCTGTTCTTAAAAGTCCAACCAAGGACTAGGTTTGCAAATTAGCCTTCGGCTAGAAAACCTCCGTACAAAACAACGGCTGCATTGTTTTCACATGTAACATTGTCTTTTGTGCTCAATAAATCCAATAAATAAATAAAATCTTATGGCCCTGATACATCACCACAGCCTATGCAAGTATCACCAACTTCTCTGGAAATGTGCAAAGGAGTCAGCCATGGCATGTCTATGCAGGCACGACATTTCTTCCATACTCAGCAGCCATGCCTGAGAAGGCAGCAGATGCGGTGGATGGAGCACATACCATGCTGGAAGAACCTGCTGGGGTCAGACGCCCCCCTCTCAAACATCTCCAGCTGGGCCAGCAGTGTCTCCCTCTGCTGGATGAGCTTGGCAGTGCGCTCCCACGCTGTAATCGCCTGGGGGAGAAACACCACATCGGTCTGATGCTGGAATGGGGGGGTGACCCAAGATCAACACAGCATGTGTCTCAGCTGGGGGGAATGGGGCCCCTATTACAGACACACAGATTTCCACCACAAAATTATATTACAGTAAGTTAATTCTATTTTTCGTCAGACACTGTTCTGTGTGTTAAATATAGCTCATGACAGTATGCACTTTTCCGAACAATTACAAAGTTACCTTGGTGCTTTGCTGCTTTTTGATTTGTTGGAATTATAAAAATATACTGCAAAATGGTGTTTTTTTATTGGCCAGCACAATCATGATTGTTTCTGACTACTGACATTTAACAATGACGTAGTGTTGTGATATTTCTGATAATTACTTTAAAAGTGTTCCCCCCCCCCATCATTTATCCAGTGTCTAACATTCAGTTCTGCATGAATCACTGGTGCCATGAAAAAAGAACACAGTCTATATTTGTAAAATGTTTGTAGGGAATTAAGACCAGGTTGTAAATGCCGGGGAAAAAAATCATTAAAGGTGCTCATTTCATAATTATGAAAACTGGAACAACAATATTCTTCAAGTCTAATTACAAGAGTGTGAAAGACTATAGAGTGACAACAGAATACCACGAAAATAGAGAATCCTGAGAACAAGCAGAATCGAGTAGGCAGAACATATGGGAATATTAACGCTAAAGTCCTATAGCTGGAGTGAAGACAGCGCCAAGAGCAATACTGGAATCCATACAGAGGGTAACAGCTAAAAATCCCTAGTAAAATATCCAGCACAAAAGCATAGTACAACCAGGTAAAACACAGCAGACATAATGTAGACATCTGCGTGTTGAAAGCAATTTCTCTGTGGCCTCCATGTTTGGCACCATCACATTTGCACTGAATCATGGGAAAGGAGCGGGGGAGGTGTCAGCAGCAGCAGTAGTGCACGAGCAGACGTTCAGGACGCCTGTCACCGGCCAGCCGCTTGCCAGGAACGCGTCATCGTTGGCAGTGGTACCTACAGCTGAAGCGTCTTTGTTCATCTGCTGCTGCATGTTTGTGTGAATGTATGTGTTTGTAAGAGAGTTTCTGATAGCATGTCGAGGATGAGCACCTCCTTCAGACGACTCTGGTACGAGGGCGAACTGTACTTGATGGCCATCTCCAGTCTCTGGCTGGATGGGAAGGACAGAGCCTTCCAGATCCTTTCCAGACAGACTTGCAACTGGTCGTCCTCACTCACTGCAACAAAGGGCTCCTTTCCAGGGCTCTGTCTCTCCTGGGCCCTCTGGGGAGAAGTTGTCAGTGTCACATACATTCAAATATCACAGGGGAAATAGATCAAATAGTAGCACGCTTGCTCAGCATAGGAGGGGTTGCTGGATTGAAACTGGGATTCTCCAAATACTTTGGCCCTAGATAAAGGCCCTTAACCCCCCCCCCCACCCCCCAAAATGCTTCAGGGGGGCTGGATAAACAGCTGACCCAGTGCCTGGACCCCAAGCTTTGCTCTCAGATACACACATGCAGCTGTCTTAAAGGACAACAAGATGGGACATGTGGGGGGAAAAAGCCTTCCAATGTAGTTGTGCAAATGACAATTAAAGCATAATTTAAAATTTCAGCTCCAAACACTGAGCACCTACTGTAATGAGCATATAAGATACCTATAACACATATTGTAATATTCAGATGCTCACAAGACCCACACCATCGCACAGATCCACAGAAGACCTTACAAGGATAGACTGTGTAGCCTGGAACACACCAAGCCGGTTCTCTGGTGTTTGCCCGTCACCGAGGTTTGTACATCCTTGGTCCCTATTGCCGTTTTTTTTATGCCGTTTCAGCATGTTGAATCACAGTAGGAACTAGTTGGTAAAACTGAGCTCTCTGATTGGGCTGAATGTCAACCATCATCTCTAGTTGTGCTGGTGTCTTCCAGTGCAAATTTTCACAGCCAACGGGAGGTACCAGGAGTCACTCGTTTGTTGGCCGTGGGTGGTGCTAGTTTTTTCGTTTGGCTTGGTGTGTACACAACTTACGACCACACACACACAAATTGCAGAAAAGCAACCATATATAGTACATAAAACATTGTATAAAATGGCACCTGTTCCTTCACACATAACACGTAATTCATCTAACAATTATATGTGCAATATGGGTGAGACAGAAGTACAGTATTAGCACCTTTGTAAATGTTCATCAAGTGAATTATATATCACAGAAACACAGGCATCAATGACTACCTTAGCAAAAGCTGTAATATCGGTGTGCTGAAAAGTCACAGTACCGCTGCCTACCTGTGTAAAGCTAGAAGATGTGTCCTCATCTTGACTGTCCACCTCTGTAAAACAAAACACAAGCTGGCTTGATGCTTTCCACGTACTGTACCACTGGTCACCACAATAGGGATTTGGAAGGTCGCCCTCAGGAGGGGGTAGGAGGGAATTACCATTCGGCAGTGACTCGTTCCCCAGACCTCCCAGCAGCCCAGAGTTCACATTCCAAACCCCGGCCGCAAACTCCTCCTTTATCCTCTTCTGAGAGTCAATCTTCTGACTTTGCCTTCTGTGATGTTGGAAGTAGACAGGACATGCACCACAAATGATATCAAGCAGGAAGAGCAATAAGGAACCATTTACTGACTTCTTCTCCTCATGCTGAGCCAAGGCCTTCCTCTTCCTGTTCTCCTCCTCGTCACTGTCATCACTGTCATGCAGGTGAAATACCTCTCCCAGGTAATCCAGTCTCTGAAGGAAACATAAAAAACCAGTAAAGACTTGAAGTTTTCGGCCATGCAAACGAAAAAGGGATCACGCAGTAGAATTATTAAAAAGCATTACTTGGTTTGAAATATACTTCATATAGTCATCCACAGACAGGTGGGACTTCGACCAGTGCTGCCGACTGTCATTTGTCCCCGATGTCACTTTGTGGGGCTTCTTATGCTGCACGAGAACCTCTGTCTTTCTAAGACAAACATCAGAAATGTTTAAAAATGTATTAATTGCATATTGGTCACCTCTCTTAAATTATTATTATTGTTTATTATTGTTGTTGTTAATAAACCATAATAATAATAATAATTCTTATTATTTACCAAAATAAATTTGCCATACTTTCACAGTAGGTAATTTTATTGGAATTAAGTTTGTCAAGGGCACAAGGTCCCGTGAAGAACGGTAACCTTCAGGCTGTGACGTCTCGGGTTTAACCTCCACACCATCTGCTGCCCTTGACATCTGCGCTATCTAAGCTGTTTCCCAGTTGGTTTCAGAAGGTCACCTGTAGGCGGGATGGTTGATGCCAGACCTTTCCAGCTCTGGGTTGAACGACCTCTGACTGTTCTTGCGGGGGGGCATCCACATATCACCCCCATCCTCCACAGCCGGCTCAATCACCGGGTCTGACTGCAAAAGACAACATCACTGTCATACACTATTCTTATGATGCAAAAAACAACCCTCCTTTGTTCATTTCTGCATGTTCACTTGCGTTTACAGCCACTATCTGCACAAAGTAGGTACCTACATCTACAGTACCTACCTCCAATATTCACGGTAAACAGAATCAATCTATACAGCATTCTACCCCATAATGTAAAACTGTGAAATATGCTGCACCCTATGTTTTGGGAAAAAGCACGGTCATTTTTTATGATGGAATGTTTCATACCTCATCAAAGTTCAGGTAGTGGTTGGAAACAGTTTTGGAGAGCTCCCTGTAAACCTCTGTTATTTCTCTCCTGGGGTTCAGGTTTCGGTCCAGCCACTTCACTGAAGAGGGCTCAATCTGTTGACGGTGAGAAGAGAATGTTCCACTAATGAAAGATCTCTCTCCTGGATGAGGGGATTGCGGCTGACACTAAGAAAAGATCTCTGTTAATGAAGTGGAATGATTCAATGAATGAGGAAAGATTTCTGTATTAATGAAAAGAAATGAAGTAGGGTAAGTGTAACTGGAAGGAAGCAGGGTAGGGTTACTGATGGAAGATCTCATTGTCTGCTGAGTGGAGGGTGCACCTACACTAAGACTGGCTTATTGTTTCAGGAGCATGAAATAATGCATTTTCTCAGAAACAACTTTACTAAACAAACCAAAAACAATATACTGAGACACCTTTAGCACCACAAATGGAAATTTATCTTTACACAGCTGTTGGTATTGATTGTCAGCTATTTGGACAGATATTTGGATTGTTGTCAGCTAGACTAATATGTGAGTGTCAACAAAATACAAACTAATCTAACTCTGTTATTAAAATTAAAGATGATGTGTGATTAGTTCAAATAGCCATCATGTTAACCAGTACAAACAGAAAGACTGGTCATACATGACTTCGTAAACCATCTTTTCATTGGTCAATTAGATGCCAAATGCTATTTGACGTCAATTAGATGCGGCTGGGGCAGTGAGTTTCTGTGCCCTTGATTGTGCCACTTTGAGCCCCGGCCCTGGCAGAATAATCACATGCCCGTGGGCCTTAGAGCAAGATCCCCCAGCTCCAGGGGCACTGCAGGCTGACTCACCCTGTCCTGTGACCCCCCCCCCCCCAAAGCTATGCAGAGCATGATGGGTTAGGCAAAGAGAAGAATTCAAATGTACCTCTCATTGGGCAAACGGCAAATAAAGGCTTTTTAATATTATTATTACTATCATTATTATTATTATTATTAGAATGGGCTTATTCCAGTAAAAAGTCAGAATTGTCAAAAAGTGGACATACGCAGTTTTCTTAGACAGAGCGTTTATATGTAACTGCCACACCTACCTCCCCAGTGAGATGGCTGTAGACAGGTGGGTACATATGGAGTTTGACCGTTTCTGTAAACACCCTGTCAGAGACACGGGGGGGCGCTGTGCGAGCGATGGATTTGGGGGTGAGCGAGACACTGACAGCCACTGGCTGTGGGTGTAGAGGTTCCTCCATCACAGCGCTCTTCGCCGTGCCATGGTCCTCTTCTTCCTCGGTGAACTTCTGCAAGGAGGAAGGGAGACGGCAGGTGTGTAGACGCAGAGCGCCGCTACAGGGGCGTGCAGTGTTGCGCAGTGTCGCTACCTGTAAGGTCTGTCGCAGGAGATGAAGCTTGCTGGAGCCGCTGCGAGGCAGAGCGCTGATCAGGGCGGGCAGGTCCATCTCCAGGTCTATCTCGGGGTCAGTCATTTTAGGCTCACCCACAGACCCAATGTCTTGCACCAATCTGCAAAATCATTACATCACTCACAGTCATCACTGCAAATTGATCCCATGACATCACCCCGTACTGGCGTCTCCAAGCTGCTCTGTCATCTCTTGGACGCAGTACCAGCCTGCAGACTTCCGTGCTCATTCAGTGGAAGGAGCCCTATCCACACCTCCTCAAGTCTTCAGCAGCGCTGATGGGCTCCTTCTCACGGCAGGAGCTTGGCTCCAGGCCCAGCAGCACCACTGGAGAGGGTGCCCGAGACGGCGGCGGCTCCAAGCCCAGCTCCTCCAGCAGGGACCCCTGCTCCAGCTCCGGCATGGACTGGCAGCCCTGGAGAGGAGTCGCAGGTAGGACGCTCAACAGGGGGCGCAGTAGTTAAAGTGCATGTTTACTGTAGGTCTGAATTCTGAAGAAGAAACTCAATACCTATCACTGCGATAAATCTGTCACCCATATAAAAGAAATTATAATGCCCTCATAATGTTGTAATAACATGGAAATAAATACTAATGATAAATAATAAACAAGAAATATATACCCCATTTAACTGCAATATATGCCTTGAGGAAAGAAAAAACTTCACAGGAAAATATAGTAAATAAATCTAAAAATTTACAATTCATCAATATCCCGAAATTTTTTTAAAATGGCTGCAGTAAAGTGAGGGGGTCCTTCCTTTAATGGAGAGACAACAGTGCTGTATTCACCCTCAGTCTGATGGGAGAGCCACTGGGAGTGCAGACCGCCCCCCCCCGGGCAGCACCACCAGCGCAGCTATCCGCAGTATCTGCAGACACACCTTCATTAGCATTTACACATTAACATCACTGGCATTCACAAAACCTTGTGTCTGTTGCCTTTAGGTTGCAAGACATTATGCAGCACCTGCTCACTCATAAAACAACGTTGTTGTCATTCCAAACATGTAACCTGTGTGTTTATGTAAGAACTTGTATGTTAGTGATGCCCGTACACTGTTTTCTGTGGGTAGTCTCTTCCAGGTGACATGGTATGAGGTCATACACGCATTCCAAATTCAGCTCCCCAATCTCCTCCTCTATCTGCCAGGTGGAACAGACGTGTTATAGTACAAAACTGCCCTCTTCTGTTCTGATTGTGTAATTACAGGCAGAACTGATCTGACTGCATTGCTAACGACAGCTCCCAAAGCATGTTTGACGTCCTGATTTATCGCTGATCTTCCAAACCCATAATAAGAACAAAGCTCCCGTCATACAGTTTTTACTCTTTAATAGCTGCCTTATGTTGTTTTTTTTCTGGGAGGGCAAGAATTGTCAATTAAATAAACATCTTTCAAACAAAAACAATGTAAAGCTGACTATAGATTTTTACTGATTTTCTTCGCAGACTGCAATACGAGGCACAGGTCTCACCTCTTGGAGGTCTCTCTCAATGGAAGCTTTCTGTTGATTTTCAAATCCACTCTTCCTGCCCTTCCTGTCCAATGACTCTGGTGCCCCCTGCTGTCCACTGCTAGGCTTTACCTTCCATGCAGCCTTAATCTCCGCAGTCACACTGCGCCTGATTGTCTGAATGTTTAAACTGTGGATTACAAACAACCATGTCAACAGGGTCAACTTAAATTCTTATTTCAGACAGAAAACTTCAAACTAAAAAGAAAAAGCAAGTTTAAAATTTAATTGCTGTACATATGTTCAATTACCATCAACACTGTTTGCACACAAAAAGTTCACAGGGATAATTATTATATTACCTGAATTATATTACCATTCCCCTTTGTGTTACAATTATTTGCTGCAATGTGTATTACGATGTCTTACTTTCCAAATGAATTATCCCACAGAATAATGTGGGGGGGGGGGCTCCATCCCCCACACATACACTGGTGAATTCTATACCCTATATTCTCAATCACCCAACTCAAATCTCCATCGCCCACAGACCCCTGCAATCCACGCCCCTCCCCCATCATCATGCCCACCACTCACAATTTGGCACAGTCCAAGGTCATCTGTGCACACAAGCGGCTGCGGTTGGCCTGATCGCCGAAGACACCACGCTTCCGCAGGACGTCTCGCAGGTGGATGTAGTGCAGACACAGGCGCTCGCACACCCGGAGGATCTCGCTGAAGATGTCACTCTGGAGCTGCTGATTGTCTTCCTGGGACAGCGAGGGGTCATGGTTCACCCCGCTGAGGTCATGGCAAACCAGTCTTAGCTGTGACATCATTGTAGCTGTCTGAACAAAAAACAGGGGCGAGGAGAATAGCCATCCGTACTCACATGTGATTTTGGATGTATGTAGTTTGTGTGTGTGTGTGTGTTTGTGTGTGTGTGTGTGTGTTTGTGTGTGTGTGTGTGTTTGTGTGTGTGGTCCAAATGCCCCCTACAATGTGATAAAAACCTGCTATTTTGATGTCACGGGGACCATTTTTTCAGTCCCCACAAGGTGAAATTCAATCTTATAAAAATCTATGACTGCAATCAAAAGTTTAAAAATGCCAAACGTCTTGTATTTTGTTTGGTTACTTGCGGTTAAGGTTAGGGCTGGGTAGATGTTACAGTTGTCATTGTTGGGATTAGGGTTTTGCCCATAGAAACGAATGGACGGTCCTCACAAAAATTGTACAGAGTACAGGTCTGTGTGTTTGTGTGTGCGTGTGTGTGTGTGTGTGTGTGTGTGTGTGTGTGTGTGTGTGTCTCACCAGGGCTTGCTGGTCATCCTGAGAGACTGAATGGACGACGCACTGGTTCTGCATCCACTCCTCCAACATGGATTGCAAATCTGATAAAGAGGTTGGAGCGAGTCTATGGTCCTCCAAGACAGATGAGACAGGGTGCACCTCCACAGTCCTATCTGGAAGAAGCCATCTATTACACACACAGTCTACCTGATCCTGCCTTGGATATGATCAATAGGGTGGTCACTGCAGTTCTTCATGGAGAACTGATGCCCGGCTGCCAAGATAAGACAGAAACTTGGGCATTAAATTAGTGTTTTCTCTCATCTTCCAGCTGCATCGATCTATAAAGACAAATTAGGTGTTTATACGTCATTCATACTTGGGAATTCCCGACCTTAAATCCCATTTACATGCTGTAGGCTGCATTCGGACCTGGATAACATTTCACCTGTCTCCCCCTCGTGTAGAGTAAGCTGTCCCAAAATGCTGTAGTACCACTGCTGGCGGTCATAGGAGGACAGGGCCTGGAGGTCCATCCTCCTTACATGTCTGCTCTGGGATTCCTCCACTCCACCGAGGCCACAGGACGCCGGGCTGCTTCTCCTCATACCCCAGCTGGTTGGCTGATGGAGACCCAGGGCACAGAGCCAGTGGGAGTTTCAAAGTGGATCCTTAGGTAGATCTACAGCATCAGAGGGATCACGGTCTTCGTTGTTATAAAGCACAAAATGCATATTGTGGATACCGTTTAAAATAGATTAACAACATATATAATGTCTCTTGTGCAACAGACAATTTGCAACTTCACATCAAATACCCCAAATCGTTATACAGTTTTATTTTAGCAAAGCTAACGTGATACATACATTCCACGACCAAGTTACGTTTTTAAAAATTATTTATATGTGACAAAGTCGGCTACTTAACTAACATAATATTAACATACTCTTAACCAATTTAGCAAACTTTCACCAAATAACGATCACTGTTAAGAACTGGCTAGACATGCATGTGTTGTCAAACAGAACGTTGTCTATTTTGCTGAAACGAATTAACTGCTGTATATTTAAAATACCGCCCGCTGCACCGTCCTGAGCTATTGAGTATTACTGCATAATCATTAATGCCATTTTATCAATAAATCTGTGAATATGACCTTTCTTCCTTCTGCAGTCGCGCGGCGACGGGCTGTGTTGCTAGGAGACTGCGACGCTCAGCAGTGCCCAAATCTGACTGGATCGGGACTGACGCTGGCCCGGATTGTAAAGCAGCCCATGCAGCTGAACCGCAACGCATTTTTCCCTTAGGTTACAAATCCTTAAATACTCAAAAGGAAACTTTGATAAACTGGAAATCGTTTTTCCAGTACTACTAGAAAAACCTGAAGATCAGTCTTCTGGACGGTAGTTACTATAACTCCTGGGTTATTTTGTTACGATCCAAGCGTCCATTAGAAGAACTTAGTTATCTGAGAAATTGCGTCCATCCATCATTATAAGGCGTTTTCACACCGAAGTTCCGGAACCTGGTCCCGGTTTACAGGTCCCTGGACTTCAGTAGCTCCTGAGTCCTGGCCACTTCCGTGTGTCGCTTTCACAACAATCATAGGAACAGTGAGATTTATGCTAAATAAGCTCGGAAGCCGCTAAAAGTTCATAAGTTAAACTTCACGTACAATTTCATACGAAACTAAACCGCCACGTAAAACAATAGATAAATAAGTCGCTTTGATGGTTAAAGTATATTGTTTAGCGATGGAATTTTTCCATATAGAAATATGGAGACGCAAGCAAAAAATGAATTGATTGATGCATTAACTGAGGTACAAAAACAATTCTATCTGCTCAGTTTTTGCCTCCCTACATCTCTTTTTCTGCACTTCGACGTAACTTCCATATTAGCGCCAGTGCTTGTGGTCAACCAATCAGTAAGCTATTTGTGTAAGCCCCTCCCCAGTAGTCTGGAGTAGGTACTAAAAAATGGGTTCTGGAACTGCCTCAGAGGAACTACAATTAGGCCGAGTTCCTTTGGTGTGAATTACACGACAAAAGTTCCTGGTTCTGGAAAAAAAGTTCTGGTTTCGGGGAAAAAGTTCCTGCGGTGTGAAAGCGCCTAAAAATGTTGAACAGTCTGAATGTGATCACGTTATATTACAGACAGGATATCATTTTTGAGAGGGCAAAGGCTTGTTATAGAGGGTGTTGTGTTCATCATTGTCATTTCTCAGCATTTTAACTTTGGTAGAGGATTGATTTACTTCCATGTAGTGGCCACGGTGAAGTAAGGGTTCCCACGTCCCACATTTTTGGTGGCATTTTATTATTTATTGTGCTAATCGTAGTTTCTTGTGTGCTTGTTTTTTCTATTTAAAATGTCAGTAGCACTTTGTAAACCCTGTGGTTAAAACAGTGCAGTATAAATAAAGATTGATTGTTTGATTTTAGTGATGGCCAAATGAAGCCTTATGAGCCACTTCCTGTGTTTTCTGGGCCCACTAGATGGTGCTGGCTGTTCAAAAAGGGGCTCAAATCTTTAACTTCAATTCATTTGCACTTTAAAACAACACAGTAATCCAAAGTGCTGTACACAGGCATAAACGTAGTTCAAAGCATGCCCCAAAGTAGGGCAGGAGCACCATCTAGTGGAGGTCAAAATACAGCAAATAGTTTATGAGGCTTCATTTGTCCATCACAAATTGATGCAACCTAAGTTCATTCACTGAGTCAAACACAACAAAAATCTTGGTTTAAAAAGGGATGCATTTATTTCACCATAATATAACTGCGTTACATGAATTCTTATAACACACAAACCATTCTGTCTGTAGTAAATGTGACTTTTTACAAAAGAGTAATGTTTATTTAGTGATCATGGATGTCGGGGTTCAGCTATTATTTCTCCTCTGGTCAAAAGGACAGCGTCGCATAACAAAACACATGAATACAGCCACATTAAAATGCATTACACAGTCGCCTGTAATACAGAGTAGTAAAGCATACATTTAAAAACTATTTTACCCATTGCAGCAGAAGGGGAAAAAAATACAACAAACCTTAGATAATATTTATATTTATTTTGAAATGGTTACGCCAACATTGACAAAAGTTACTTCTATGACTAGTTGGTAAAATAAGTTCTTCAAACAGCTAAAATACAGAAATTATACGTAACGATAGGGATGGACAAACCTACGCTTCATGAACCATTTGCTGTATTTGTATCCCCTCTAGATGGCGCTCTCTGTGCAAGAAAACAGACACAACACTTGCCCAGAAACAAACCAAGAGCACCATCTAGTGGGGTAAAAAAAACAGCAAATGGTTTGAGAAGCTTCATCTTGTCCATCTCTACTTAAGGTGTTCAAACTGACATCCAATAAAATAAAACGACCTATTCCCCGCACAGTTGTTCCTTCAACATGGATGGCTGCATCTGCATTTGTAAAGCGAACCAAATGCCAAGCAAAATTCCAAACCTGAAAAAAAATCATCGTAAGCCTATTTCCAAAATTAAGCGAACAGCATCAGTTCAAGTGATTTTACCTGTTACATCTATAGTTATAACAAACATTACTCAAGGTAAACACTGCCGTTTACGAGTCACTGAGACTTAAAAACAGGACCCGACATACAAAATGGTCCATCTCTTGGTAAGAAATGGTGGCACTTTAGTCACAACCCAATGACAGTTTTGCCCCTTTTTATTAAAATTTGCCCTCCAACAGGTGACAGTGAAATCTATTTACCCAAATCAATGTAGAAAGCATCCATAACTAATTATATAAAACCTTATTCCTTTATGAAATATAAATGGCTTCAGTAAAATTTTATATTTATGACTTTATAATGCTCAAAACTTCACACAATATTCTCCTAAATAACAGAAGAACTAGACATTACAATATTTATCCTTTATTTTCCAGATATAACTATCAAGTAGATCCAATAACAGTATTTACCTATATATGTATTTTTTACAGGCAAACATAGCCCACGATTTAATGAGCTGCTAGTAGGTCTGGTCGACAGTTTTGTTATATAAAGCACCACATTTTCTTTTGCATAACATTGTATAAAGCACCACAAGTTATTGGCATAACATTCAGGGGATGCCGCAATAGTACCGGTGGACAGTGTGGAGATTACTAGTTTATGGGAATCCCTAATCTTGATGACATCTAAACATGCAGCACACATGACACCTTGCACTAAAATGGCTGGCTGGCTGCAGAGACAAACATACAAGGTGTTTGGAGTCTGGGGCAATGGGGTGGTTGCTCCCAGGAGGGGTTATTACTGAGAATCCACTGGGGCAACAGCAGTCTTCTGGGGTGAATTCTGGGGCATCCCGCTGAAGAGCAGGTCCTTTAAGATCCCCATGTAGAAGGGACTGTACACTTGCTTGTTGAAGTTCACTAGGGAGACGAAATTGGCTCCCAATACACCGATTTCTGGCTGAATCATGGCAAGCCCACCCGGAACAGGAGGAGGCGTTAGGTGGGAGTTTGGTTTGGTCAGGAAATTCTTGAAGTACTGTCGCACCCTGTCCTCTGAAAGGAGATGAAGGAATAGAAGGAGAGGATGATTCAGGGTATAGTAACGACAGAAGCACTACCAGCGACATAAAGGGTGGACTCCCTGTTATTGTCATTTAAATTCTGTGTTTAAAAATAATGAATAATCATGTTTCTGAATCAATGAAATCAATGAATAGTTGTACCGCTGCTTTCAGCCGCAATATTAATAAGCATCCATTCACTGGCATACAAACCATTAATGAATTTTATGCAGGCCTTGTACCAGTAAGTTTTCATAAGAATGTGTTGATGGTGAAAGCACTCTTCATGTTTATTAAATCAGGTTTGTTTTGTAATTAGATTCTCAGGAAGAGATGTGATGACCATCAGGTCACAGAGTCAAGGCAATATGAAGAGTTATAAGAGAAGAGTTTGTAATAAATGGAGTTTGGTCATAAGGAGTAGGGCAGTACATCAGGCAGACTTTAGGATGTACTCCAGATTCAACCAACTACTTCTGACCTTTACTGTTAAGGTCAGGCAGACAGATTCCAAGAAATAAATAACAGAACTTTTTTCAGGAACCAGAAACTTTTTCCAGAACTAGGAACTTTTGTCACTTTTACACCACGGGAACTTGGCCCAATTGTAGTTCCTCGGAGGCAGTTACGGAACCCTTTCTTTGGTACCTACTCCAGACTAGGTACTTTTCATTCAAACATAAACTACTGGGGAGGGGCTTGCAGCAGATAGCTTGCTGATTGGTTGACCACACGCACTGGCACTAACTTGGAAGTTACACAGAAGAGCAGAGAAAGGAGATAATTAGCAGAGCAAAAACTGAGCAGATGGAATTATTTTTGTACTTCTGTTACATTTAACAAATACATTTTTTGTTCATCTTTCCATATTTCTGCATTGGAAAATTTGATCAATAACCAATATACTTTTGCCCAATATTGCCAGTACCAGTGGAAAAACTTGTCTGCACTTATCCGTGGAATGCATTACACCGTTTTGTATTCTGTGAAACCGAAAAACCCCATAACTAACAAACAAATTGAACAAGTTGTTTTGTTAAGCTTTCTTCATTGTTTTTGGATGGCAGTGTAGTCGAGTCATGTGTGAAGCTTAACCTACAAGCTTTTTGCATCTCCCATGCTTATTTAACGGACAAGTTTTGTTATGCAGTGTAAAGTGATGCATGAGAGTGGCCAGGAACTACAAAATCCTCGGTCCTGACAGCCCAGGAACTTGTAACCAGGGACCAGGTTCTGGAACTTCAGTATGAAAGCAACTTATTAGGCAGTGGAAGCAGGATACTACCACTGAGGAGACTGTAGACTACTAGGAAAGAGTAACAGGAAAGAAAGAATTTGGTCAGCGCTCGCGGCCTCACCAACAAGATTATGGATGGGGTTGTTTTCCTGGAGGATGCTGCAAATCTGCCCCTTCAGTGTCGCCTGCACCTCAGGCAAGATGGCTGGGTAGCTACTCCCCACCAGGGTCTTATTCAGCTCCGAGCAGATCTGGACACTGACATTTTCCAGGGCTTCAGGTAGGTCAAATTCCCTGCAGATAGGGTAACAGAAATAGCATTACTACATAATATGAGCATCTGCGCAGACACCACCAGCTTCAAAATCGCACGTTTTATTAAGGTATTAAGGTGGGACTCACGGGCTATGCATGCCCTCCAAAAGGACACTGGCCATCTTCTTAAGCCGGTCTGCCAATCCGGGAAGCCCAGAGATGGGTCCGCCGATGGTGCTGTAGACAATTAGCAAGATGGAGGCCACAGTTTGAAGCAGCTGTAGACGCTGCTGCAGCTCACGCAAGCGCACCTCATCTGTCATCAGTGTCTGAGGACAAAAACACGTGGCACTCCAGTCATTTTATGAGCAAGACTTCAGTCATAAGATTTATAATATTCGGTATTAGAACTGGAGGATAACCCTTGGCGTTCATGCATTAACAGTTATAGCACACTGCATATAGCGGCTACTTACCTCGGGGAGCACGTTCTTCCAGTGGTCCCAGTTCAGGAGCTGGATGTAGGCTGTGTCGAATACCTGTGTGGGACTGGGGAGCGCCGGCGTGCCTTTTGCAGAACCAGAGGACTGACTGGCAGTGGGCACAGCAAGCAGCATCTCCAAAGATGCCTTAATCCAGGCGGTTGTGTGGTCCAGCGCATCTGGAGACGGGATTGTGGGAGAATTCACATGAATCAGATTCTCAAAGGTCAGCTCAAATGATTTTACCTGTTATACTTAAAGTTATAAACAAACATTGCTCAAGGTAAACACTGTAGTTATATATGCTTTCTACATTGATCTGGGTAAAGGGATGTGACTGTCACCTGTTTGAGGACAAAATGCAGTTTAAAAAAAAGGGGGGGAGAGATTGGTAGAATGCAAAGTAGATGATAATAAACATTTTTGCATGATCATTAAAAGTATTCCCCAGTGTAATTCATGGTACTGAGGATAATCATAGGTTAATTTATAAAAAAAAAAAATTTTTTTAATAAAATAAAAAAAACTGGACATACTGGAAATTGAGTCATAAAAATGGACTATCAGAGAAGTGGTGACAGTAGGCAGCTTCAAACACTTACTTAGCATTTTGATTCAGCTTATTACAAACCACATACTGCCTACTGCTGTATGACATCAAAATTACTCATTTGTTTACAGGACCTCATACCCACTAAGCCAATGATGGAGTTTCTGCCTGTACTTGACCAGCCCACATTAGGCAATATGCATACATCTTAGATGTTTCTGGACTCAGACAGAGCAATGAACCAGCATCTAAAGCTGGGGTCTCCAACTCCGGTCCTGGAGAGCTACTATCCAGCAGGTTTTCTATCCTACCTGGCTTCAGATGAGCCACACCTGCTCCTGGTATTTACCTGAGAACAGGTGTGGCTCATCTGAAGCCAGGTAGGATAGAAAACCTGCTGGATAGTAGCTCTCCAGGACCGGAGTTGGAGTCCCCTGACAAAGTAATGATTCGCTTCTTTCTGTGTAACGATTCTTGTCTATTGACCCCAGGACAAATTTATCCTTATCAATAGATTCCTTGTTTGTTCCAACAAACTACTCAAAATACTTGCTGGGAGCTTGCGACTTGTCTCCCTGTACAATCATCCTTTGGAGATATTATTCATGTTTAGAATGAATCTGCTGGTGTAGAAATACATGTCACCATTACAGCAGCATTAAAGCATCAAATACGCATTTATTTTAGATATCGCTTTCTGTCATACATTCCAACTTGAGCAATTTGTACATGAGATCTGAACGATCTTTTTGGGCAAGAGGTTAGATCACCACAGGATTGCTTCATCATGGGTGTTTATTTTTAATTGCTTACTCTCCTCCCTCTATGTATCAGTGCATATCTAGGCTTTTCTCCTATTTAGGGTACTCTGTCCTAGAGTTGGCAAATCAGTTAATTTGAGACATCCTGAGAGAGTCACCCCCAGTTGCTATCATCCATAACCAACCATTTTCAACTGCACTTATTTCTACTTCAAAGGGAGTTTTCCACAGGATATTACTCAATTGCCTTCTTTGATGGGGTTCTTCCTTTTCCCCTTGGGACAAAAATGTATTACACTGTATTACAAAAAATAATTATTTGTTGGTTGATTGAATTTCAAAGCAAACCTGAATTATCATGCTCACATCTGAATGTCAATAAATGTGGAGTAAACAATGTCTCATTAATGCAATGACGCAAAAGCAAGGTTACATGAATTACAAAAGCTAGCAATTTGTCTACTGGCCATTGGCTAGACGGCACAATGGAACACTGTTAGGCGTCTCATAAAGAAGAGGGACAGTGACACACACAGAGAACTCAGAGGTCACTGTCAGCTTCTTTTCTTCAATCATTAGATCCTCTTTCCATGTAAAACTATATGCTAACCGTTTCTTAGACACAGATGCACCTGCACAGAAACACACACACATGTATGAGGGCGCTACCTGTTGGTGAGATGGCCAAATTGCTTTTTATGGTAGCAGTCAACAGCTCATCTTTATACAGCATGAACAAAATACATAGGCAAAGTAGAATAGCCTAAAATATTGCCAAGACTAGACCTGAAACATTTTTTAAGGTGAGATCCTACTGGGAACTATTTAGTGCAACATTCACGTCGCTTTACTACGAATGAGAGAATGACCATAGTTCAGTGCTGATATATAGCATATTGAAGAGCACATACTTGGAGTACGTTCCACAACACTTTGGAACTTGGCCCTCTCGTACTCTACGGACTGCTTCTGCAGCTCTGGCCTGAGGATCTGGATGGTGAAGTTCACCATGTCCAACTTCATGAGGTCCAGTACTCGGAATATCTCCCTGAGAAAAAAAATCAAGAAGTTGAGCCAACTCAAGGTACTCTACTTATGCAAGGAGCTCTTCTCTTCACCCCTATACACAAACAAATATTACAAAGGACCTCTGTAAACTTGAGTAAACATACAGTTCCCATTCTGTTTATATGTGAATATGGAAACAAAATCCATTTATGCCTTACTGACCTTTAAATACAAGAGTCAATGCATGACTTAACAGAAGATATGCTCGTTTTTTTTAATAACTGACTTACTTAAACATTACTACAGTGTTGTCCAAGTTCTCCTTCAGTTTTTTGACCTCATCATCCCTCACAGGGGCACAGAACTTGGCCATGACAGAAATGATGTAAGTGGCCAGCCCCTGAATGTCAACTGCATTGTTCTCAGCCTGCTGCCGGATGAGATCCAGGTCCAGCACCTCCAAGATCTGGGTTCTCAAGCGGTTTGCTCCAGGGTTTAGAAAGGACAGCAGGACCTGTGAAATGAGGGAAAGTCTGGGTTTAGCTGGATTTTTCTAGAGCAGCGTTTCTCTTCAGGGACACCCAGAAAGTCCAAATTTTTGCTCCCTTCCAGGTGTCAGTCAATCAAGAATACCTGGTACTGGGTTGTTGGGAGCCAGAAGAGAACAAAAATGTGGACTGTCTGGGGTCCCAAAGGACTGGGTTGGAAATCACTGCTCTAGAGCATCTTTAATGATACGGAGGCTGAGAAGAACCAACTCAGGGCAACAAAGACAATTTGAACAAAAGTAGATCACAGGCTCTACTAGTTATCTACACAAAGAGATGTGTGAATCATTATTCTATGCATCTCTTACAAATCAGATGCCATTGATGTATACTGCCTTTTAAAATGGGATCACTGAAAAACACTGTACATGCACTACATGTCCCAGGGGCTTAACTTCTCTCTTGGGATACCCAAAAGACAGATTGCTCACCTCTCTTATCTCCTGCAGCAGTCTGATAGCATGCTTGTACTCCGGAGGGTCGTTATTGAGTTCAGACTCTAGGCAATCCCAGAATGCCTTGTGGACGATATCTTTCACCTTTTTCTCTAAGCTGGAAGGAAAGTTGAACATCTCTTGATATGCAGATAACCCACGCCAGTTAAGACTGAAGATGATCACACCACATGCAAAGACTATCACCTTTGCCCAGAAGGGTTCCATTTTCAAAGAACCAGGATGAGAATTTCAGTCCAAACTACAAAAATAATTCTAAAAGTTGGAGACCTGACACCAGGGGCGTAGATTTAGGGGGGACGGAGGGGATGTGTCCCCACCAATATCCTCCGGCCATTGAAATGTCCCCACCAATATCCTCCGGCCATTGAAATGTCCCCACCAATATCCTCCGGCCATTGAAATGTCCCCACCAATATCCAATAATTTAATCCACTTAAAAAAAAAAAAAAAAAAAAAAAAATGCTGTCAACATTAACCTAGACACGCAGAAATGGATAAATCACGTTCTCTCCTTGAGTCCCCCCGCCCCCAAAACACATATGAACATTTTGATTGGCTGTGCATTTCCCTGCTATCACGTGAGAGGCTGTGGCTGCGTTCA